TTTTCTTTTTTTGAAAAAAAAACAATCGTTCGGATTTCAAGGAGGTAACGACAGGCTAAAAGAGCGCAAGAAGCAACCAATAATCAAAAATGCTTTCATGGCTCGGCTCCCTTCTTGCACGCCCCCCCTACTGGGGGTCGGGGCCACAACCCGGGCTGGTGCCAGACCCAGGAATTGAACCGGAACTACTGGTTCCATAGTTCAAAGCGTCAACTCGAGCCAGGCCGGCCAGGAGGTAGTCGTTTTTTGATGCCCAATGCATGAGAGGTGAGACAAACTTCCTCTTTTTTATATAGAAAAATGTTAGTCCTTAGTTCGAGCACTTACGTTGTGATTTGAGTGTGAATTTATTGCCGGCACTTGCTGGTTTAGAGAAGTAAGTTTATTGCTTTTCTTTCCTTCCATTCCAGGGTATGACGCGCAGTGAGCCGCCTGCTCCGGCCCTGTGGGGATAAAAGGATTTCTGTCTGAACGTCCTCGTATAATAATGAGACATCGTTTCCGGAGGACGAGGCCCAGAAATCACGGATTTTACAAAGATTCCCAGGTGATTCTAATGTGCAGCCAAGGTTGAGAACCGCTGCTCTACAGATACACGGTGTAAGTCCTACACATACTGTCCAGGTGAAGGATGGAAACAATGAGCTTTCTCCTCCTGGTTTCGCATGAGTTTCCTCCCTGATGTATGGAGGAGAGACAATTGTCATGAGCTTCTGAGTGTCACCCGTTTGCTTACAGTGGCAGCTTTCTGTGATTTTGGAATGAAAGCACCAGCTAAACTATTAGTAAAGTAGAGGCCCGAGGCACGAAATTCATGCAAGGGGCTCGGCCTTCTCAGCCCCAGCTTCATCCAGAAGCTCATCCAGAAGGACATCTGGAAGGTCGTTTGGCTTCCCAGTCTAATTAGCATACTATGCTTTTATTATTATAGACTAGAGGCCCGGTGCATGAAATTCATGCACAGGAGTGGTTCCTCAGCCCGGCCTGCACCCTCTCCAATCTGGGACCCCTTGGGGGATGTCCGACTGCCCACAGGGATCGGGCCTAAACCGGCAGTCAGATATCTCTCTCGCAATCCGGGACCGCTGGCTCGTAACCACTCGCCTGGCTGCCTGCCTGATCACCCCTAACCACCTCTGCCTGCCACCCTGATGCCCCTAACTGCTCCCCCGCCAGCCTGATAGCCTCTAACTGCCTCTGCCTGCCGAGGTGATCGCCCCTAACCTCCTCTGCCTGCCGGCCTCATCTCCCAATTGCTCCCCTGCCGGCCTGATCGCTCCCTAACCACTCCCCTGCCAGCCTGATCGCTCCTAACCGCCTCTGCCTCGGCCCCCGCCCCCACCACCATGGCTTTGTCCGGAAGGACGTCCAAAAGATGTCCGGAGGATGTCTGGTCTAATTAGCATATTACCCTTTTATTAGTATAGATCAGTGATGGCGAACCTATGACACGCGTGTCAGAGGTGACACGTGAACTCATTTTTTTGGTTGATTTTTCTTTGTTAAATGGCATTTAAATATATAAAATAAATATCAAAAATATAAGTCTTTGTTTTACTATGGTTGCAAATATCAAAAAATTTCTATATGTGACACGGCACCAGAGTTAAGTTGGGGTTTTTCAAAATGCTGACACGCCGAGCTCAAAAGGTTCGCCATCACTGGTCTAGATATTTTAAAAGAGGAAAGGAGCCAGAGAACATTTTCTTCCAATGAGACTGGAATTGATCCATTCTTACGTTTCCAATGGGCTATATTCACCGATCTACTGAGGAAACTTCATCACAGAATTAAAAATACTCTTGTAATAACTCGTTTTGGTTCCAGGGGAAATTTCTGACTCAAGTGATCCCTTTTACGCACAGCCCAGAACATACTGGAAATGGTAAGAACAGCATCAATGGCATCGGGTACCTAATACTCTGCTGCATGTATCGATCCGGGTCCTGAGCGGTAAACGTTGTCAGCATGGTCCCGGCATGAAGGCCTTCTTCTTGGCGAATGATCTTGGGATTTGGGACAAAATAAGGGTTTTCATTCACATCAATGACGGTCACAGACACGGTTGCCGTCGACTGAGGTGGGTGCTGAATGCCCTTGGCTAATGGCACTTGATTTTCCGCAGCAACAGTGAGGACGAACATCCTGTTTGTCTCAAAGTCGATTGGCTGGGGAGAAAAAAAAAGGGAACCATAGTTTGGTGGGAAATAATAAATTCATTCTGTAGTGTATCCTTCTATCAACGCCTTTCCCAAAACATTCCTTTTTCATTCGCTCTGCCACAGCTGTTTCTCAGATTTCTGGAAAACATGCATTCCGCATGGCCAGTGATGGAAACAGTGTTCACAATTTAGCTGAGATGTTTATAAACCTTGGGTCCTTCAAAGATTGATGGTCACAAAATAACACACATTACTAGTGTAATGACTGAATTACTCAGCTACATCTAAAGACTTGATTATTTTTAAAAACAGTAAGTTTGCTCAAAAATACTCCATACACAGATCACCTGAGATGGTCCGGGTTGTCCTCAAACTCTGGTGGGAAGGCTGTCTGTCCCTCTGTAGGGAGCTTTGTCCGGTTTGCGATAAAGAAAAATCAACCATACCCAGAAAATTTTCATTTTTTCATGAAGCTAAAGTCGCCCCATTGGGAAGTTCAATCGTACTCTGATATATACATTTTAAAGTATATGCACATTTACACTTAAAAAACAATAGTGCTTATAAGCAGAAAAGTGTTTTTTGGTTTTCTTTTCTTGCTTAGCAAACAAAAACTCTGGTTGTTTTCGAGGAATTGTGGGTATTTTCCTGATCTGTGAAAACCCAAATCTCAGAACAGCACTCTAGAGAGAGGCAAGGCCCACGTAACCCTCCGTGTAAACATTAACTTCCGAAGCTCCGTGAACCCTCCTGTCAACAGGAACGTCGCCAGGAGTCCAGGGACCAGCCTGGACTGCGATTCCTACTTGTACTGACCACCTGCCAGTGGGCGCAGGCAGTCAGACATCTCTCTCGCCCCGCTGGGGGGCAACATGGACAGAGCTGGGGGAGCTTCGTGCTCCTCTAAGAATGATCGAGAGCAAAGCTGGAGTGAAGACCAGCGTCTTAGCACGAACCACACCCACTTCTCAAGGTGGACCGCCTCCAACTCTTCACAAACCACAGCTTTTCTGAACTCCCCATTCAACTTCCCTTTCTCAACGACGGTACATAAGACAGCAGAGGAGCCAGCGAGACAGACAGAATTCGTCTGAGCGATTTCGTGAGCCACGTGGAACCCCCCTGGCCTGACGCGCCCTGAGGCTCCGGCACACACAGTGTGGGCGCTCCTGGGCGTGAGGCTTCCTTACCCCTCAGAACGGCACTGGGACCCAGGTGGGAGCTGTTACCGTTCCCACTTTCTGCTTGGAGTCTGAGGCTTACAGGTAAGAACTCACCATGGTCACACCCCACCCAGGGCAGAACTGGGGCTAGAACCCAGACAGTCACATTCTGGGCCCGTGCTGGGGATCACTACCGTGTGATCACAGACGTCCAACCCCAGCTCCTGGGGGAAATGCCCGTTCTACTCGCACACGGGAAATCCCTGGCGGCTGACACGCACCGGGACGGCCAACGCTGGGGTTTTCCTTACACGTCAGGAGTCATGGGATAGGAGGCCGGGAGCTGATCTCTTCTCCGGGTGGGCAAATGGAAGATGTTCCACTTTAAGAGCTTTTGCATTGATTAGCGCTGCCTAGTTATTATACTTGGAGTTAACATCTCTTTACTTCCAGCGCGTGGGCTTTTTTTGGGGGGGAGGGGGGAAGGGGGCAATTAAGGATCAGAAGAACCACTTTCTTCGAGCCTTGAAAACAGCATTTAAAAACGGCAATGCAACTTCAAAACCTTTTGAAAGCGTGGACCCTCTTCTTGCCTGCTCACCCCACTTTACTTCTGTGGCATTTCCTGGTTTGTCCCCTGAGCCTGGACCTAGTAACGACCTGGAGGCATAAGAACAGGGTGTGGGGCCACGTTCCCCATCGCCACCCACGGGACCCAAACTTCGGGCCGCCACACGTCACGCTCACAACCACACTCACGGCAACACGGCTGAGGGCGGTCCTGCCTCCGGATGAACACCGTCCAAACTCATTTAAGAACAACCAGACTCCAGAGATGATGTGGCAAAACCTACGTTGGCCTCAACAACAATTACAAAACAACATGCGGCCTCTCCAAATGCATTCATCCCAGAGTTAGTGACGCTTGAAGGGAAGTCACAAGACTGAGTAAAAAACACAGGGGGATCCTGGCCACCAGAGAGGCTGTGGGGTCCGCGGCCCAAGCTCCCCCCGCTCACCTTCACCACGGTGACCAGGCCGTCGTTGCTGTTGGGGTCGGTCTGAATGGCGAAGCGGCCGGTGGGGTCCCCGCCGCTGATTCTGTACACGGCGTTCCAGGACGGCGTGTGTGGCTGGTCCTTGTCGGTCACGGTCAGGTTGGCGACGATGACATCCACCCTGTTCTCGGGGACCTCGCCATAGAACTGCCAGGAAGGAAGGCTCGGTGAGAGGAGTGGCGGGGCCAGGCCGGACAGCGTGTCTCCGGGACCACAGTCAGACTGGCTGCGGGGACCACCACCCTGACCGACGGGCCCATCCGATCTCTACGATCCCCACTCAGCGTGACACAGGCAATCACAGCAGCTCCGTCCGACTTTAAAAATAACAGGATGTTCGCCAGCAGTCAGTTATTTTCCGAGGGACGTCACAGTTTCATGAATATTAAAATGAGCATCCACTGGGTGTTGGGGTGATGGACGGGAGGTAGGACAGGATGTGTCTGAGGGACCCACTTTTCCACTAGAGATGACCACTAATGCGGATGAAGCCGTAAACATCGGTCATGTCATCCGTGTACCTGAACACATGCGTAAGTGTTTTGTTTTAACAGCACAGTTTTGGGGGGAGCGTGCCTCCGAGGCAGCATATTTTAACAACCTAATCCCATGGTCGGCAAACCACGGCTCGCGAGCCACATGCGGCTCTTTGGCCCCTTGAGTGTGGCTCTTCCACAAAATACCATGTGCGGGCGCGCACGTACAGTGTGAAGTTGACTTAAAACTTTAAGTAAAGTTTATTAAGTTAATTTTAGGGAACGTTGTGGAGTTAGAGAAGATGTAGTGTCGAGGATTGAGAAAGGTATGTTGAGATGGTTTGGACATATAGAGAGGATGAACGAAAGGAGATAGACGAAACAAGTACACAAGACGAGTGTGGATGGGGAAGTTGGAAGGGGTCGACCTCAGCGAACGTACCTCAATCAGATTGAGGACGTTTTTAGCAAAGGCCAGCTTAGGAGTACCCCAATTAAGTTAATAATAATGTACCTACCTATATAGTCTAAGTTTAAAAAATTTGGCTCTCAAAAAAAATTTCAATCATCGTACTGTTTATATTTGGCCTGTTGACTAACGAGTTTGCCGACCACTGACCTAATCAGCGGACTTGGCGACCAAAAGAGAAAAAATCCCTTTGGTGCCGCACTGGAAACCTGGTTCAAGGGGCAGGAAATGTTGGAGTCAGTAGCCAGTCTACAATGAGGCTGAGCAAGTCCCACCTCTACTAACACACGTGTCACTCAGGACGCCGCCTCTCAGGGGCGCCCGCGGGGCCCAGGGTCTGCGTGGCCTTGGCACTTACGGACATGGCAGTGAACTCCGGGGGGTTGTCGTTGACGTCGGTCACCGTGATGACGGCCGTGGCCGTGTTGGAGAGGCCGTAGGTGGGGCTGCCTTCCGTGTCGGTGGCCTGGATGATTAACGTGTACTGGTGCACTTTCTAAAAGGAGACAGAGGCCACATAAATAAAACCAGCTCCTCAAGAAGACGTGACAGTTGTTCTGTAAATGGCTCTTCACGCCACACGACTAGCATAGCATCGTTCATTCCGAGCAACACACCGAGATTCCCCGATGGAGTCGCTTTAACTGGCCAAGTGTGGGTCTGGTCTCTGTCTGGAGACTGAACCGTGCATTTCATCTCTGCTCATGGGAAGGTGTATTGAACTCACAGCTAAGCAGACACTGCCAGCCGGGCTCTGCCTTCCCTTCTCCTCGGAACTTCTCAATATCCAAGTGCACTGTGATCAGCCCTCAAGTCCACGGGTCTCATTTATTTTATCACATGTTAATTTCTACCCAGTTTAGGGGACTAGAGACAATAAAGAATCTTGAGAGGGAGAAGAAAGCATATGTAATTCACAAAGTATATATGCTTTCCTTTTATATATTACTAGAGGCCCGGTGCACAAAATTCACGCACAGGAGGGGGGGGTCCCTCAGCCGGGCCTGCACCCTCTCCAATGTGGGACATCCCTCTCGCAATCCGGAAACGCTGGCTCCTAACCGCTTGCCTGCCTGCCTGATCGCCCCTATCCACTCTGCCTGCCAGCCTGATCACCCCTAACTACCCCTGCCTACCTGCCTGATTGCCCCAACCCCTCTGCCTGCCTGCCTGATCGCCCCTAACTGCTCCCTTGCTGGCCTGATTGCCCCTAACCGCTCTCCCCTGCCAGCCTGATCGCCCCTAACCACCTCTGCCTCAACCTCGCCACTGTGGCTTTGTCCAGAAGGACGTCTGGAAGACATCCAGTCTATCTGGTCTAATTAGCATATTACCCTTTTATTAGTATAGATTTTTTTATTTAGGTGGGTTTGCTGAGTCAAAAAGTAGGCATATCAACAAATTTGATGCATACTTACAAACTGGCCACTGAAATATTACCCTCATCAACTGTGTTCAAACCAACTCCTCAACCCCTTGGCAAACTAGGATATTTTCCATCTTTAATGTTTGCCAATCTGATGAATCAACAACGGTACCTCATTTTATTGAGCAAGTTGATCCTATGTACATTCACAATTATTACATATGCTTACATGTTTGTGGGCATTTTTTCTTATATGTATTCATTCTATTACAACAGGGTTGATACAATATTTTCTCCAATTCCAATTCATACTTGTTATTCTCAACTATAGGGTGTCCCCCCAAAAAATGTATACACACACTTTGAATAATTATAAAGGCAGTCATGTAATTGGTGAGGTGTTAAGTTTACTTAATCGGTAATACCTCACCATAATGCTTATGCAAGCTAAGAGATTTCACAATAATTTAATTGAATGTATTTTAATTATTTAACAATGATTACAATGAATTTCATTTTCAAAACTGAGCTATCAGTTATTAAAGTGTGCATACATTTCTTGGGAATACTTTGTAAATAGAATGATTACATTCTTAAATGAAGGCAAAACCTAATTAAAGGATTTTATGTTTATATTCTTAGTCCTGGAACACAGTAGGTATCTCATCTATGTATACTTGACATATTGCTCTTTGGACATAATACTCATTGTGCCCAGAGACCTACAGCGGATATGGCTACATCTACACACAGGCGATTATTATCAAATGGGCATCGCTGCTTTCCAATTCTGCTGGAATCTGTAGAGGGCCGCCCAGCTCAGCTGTGTTGACCAGAGAGAAAATGCGGAGCTTGTCTCAGAAGTCTGTAGCACGAGCTGGCAAATTCATATGCGGAAAATCTAACCCCAACGAGTATCTCAAATCATGGGAAATCCCTGTGGAAATGGGCGCAGATAAAAACATAGGCTGTTTTCATAAATGTTAAGACATTCTGCACAACAGAACTCACTCCTTCAAACCCAAATAAACCGCCACTGCAAAGTGCAGCTCTCCCTGATTCTAAATATAACCCACATTATGAATGGCCGCACTTGGGGGTGTCTGGAGCGGGGCCAGGACAGCACACACTGCAGCTTCCGATTCAGCTGTGGGTTAGAAGGGCGGGGAATAGCGAAGAGCAGGAGGGCAAACCAACCTCACACATGCGCCTCTCAGTCTCTGTCCACCCAGATGTCAATCGCTCACAGTTATTTCAGTTTATTTTGTCTTCCTAAAAAATAAAAATCGTACTTTCTAAAATTAAAAAAAGAAAGGGATAGTGCTGGTTGAGCCATTTTAAGTTTTAACTCATAACACCTCCCATAATGCTAATGCAAGCGAGGATTCTCAATGACTCCCTTTCCCAATCAAGAGCACCCTTCCAGCGTGACACCTCACGGTTAGGAGAGACGTTTATAGGTGCTCAGGTGAGCCTCCCCGCCAGAAATAGTGAAAATAGAAATCCCATTTGTTAGCTCTGTTCGCAGAAATTGATGAACATTTAAAAAAAATTTTTTTTAATGGAGCTTTTATTTTTTTAAAAAAAGATAAAAAACCGACACAGATATTATATGGAGACACAGTTCTTTGTTACTGTCTACTCTACAAAGACCTTTAAAATTACATACGCATGTTATATGCAATTACCCATGTAGCTGAAACAATGGGATCAGGAGCTAAGACTTGGAATTTCCTATTGCTTCAAGCGAGTCTTGAAATCTCTGAGTTATAAAAGGACACTTATTTCTAAAACACAGTGTCTCTTCAAACCAAGAAATGGCTTGGAAAACAACGCCACCCCCATTTTCAGACGCCTGGCCGGTAAAATGCTCTTTCATTCCATAAGGAAGGCGCTACTGGTTGTGTTCCAACACCCACGCTGTTCAGAGCGCCCGGCCTGGCTCGGTCACTGGGCGTCTGGCCCTGTATGACTGACGTTTCGATGCCCTAAGGGTCTGACTTCCCACTCTGAGTCCCCCTCTGACCGAGGGGACTGCTTAGAAACGCTTCCTGTGTGCTGAGTGACATCAGCCAGCCAGAGAGAGACAACCATCACAGGATCTCACATATGTGGGGTCTAATGAACAAAATAAACTGACAAGCAAAACAGATCCAGAGACAGGGAAGCATGGAACGGACTGTCAAATCTCAGAGGGGGTGAGTGAGACAAGATTAACCAAAGAACTTATCCATAATAATAAAAGCGTAATATGCTATTTAGACCAGAGGACCTTCCGGAGGAAGCTGGGGCTGTGAGGGAAGCCCGGGTCCCGGGAGCCAGAGGGAAGCCAGGGCTGGCAGCCTGGGAAGGAAGGCCTACACTTGCACGGATTTCGTGCACCGGGCCTCTAGTATGCAGAGATGCATAACCCATGGACACAGGCAAGAGTGCTGTGATGAAGGCCTGGGAGGGAGCGGGAGTGGGGAGAAGGGGCTCAATGGTGAGGAAAAAGGGGGGCATCTGGAACACTTTTAACAATAAAGATAAATTTAAAAAAGAACACATTTCCTCCCTCCCCATTCTAGAAGGGATGAACTCATGCACCTGCCGACCATCCTTCCTTCTCTGTCTTACCTACCTCGCCAAGGCTAGCACCTCTCACCTGCTGACCCCACACCTTGAGCTTTCTGCGTTTATTTTCAAATGCTTATCGTGATTCCATGCCACTGCGTATAGGCCACTGCCTTTGGCAATTCCTTCTGCCCAAACCGGTGGTTCTCAGCTGAGGCGATTCTGCCCTCCCCACCCCTGCCCAGGGGACCTCCTGGGACATTTCTGATTATCAAAACTAAGGGGTGTTACTGACATCTAATGGATAGACAGTCTAGAGCAGCGATGGCGAACCTTTTGAGCTCCGCGTGTCAGCATTTTGAAAAACCCTAACTTAACTCTGGTGCCGTGTCACATATAGAAATGTTTTGATATTTGCAACCATAGTAAAACAAAGATTTATATTTTTGACATTTATTTTATATATTTAAATGCCATTTAACAAAGAAAAATCAACCAAAAAAATGAGTTCGCGTGTCACCTCTGACACGCGTTGTCATAGGTTCGCCATCACTGGTCTAGAGAGGCTGCTAAACATCCCAGGCCCCTAACAAAGATCTAGCCAGCCCGTATGTCAACAGGGCCAAGGGTGAGAAACCCTGGCCTAGCACAGCCTGGCCTTCACGCTGAGCTTGACCAAAAGGAAGCTTAATTCACCTCAGGGATGATGTCTGAAGTCCTTGGCTACTCGGACACACCTCTAGCGTTATTTCCGTTTATCTGGCTGTTAGCACCACAGGCCTGCCCTCCTGCTATGCACATACACTCACTCCTTCCCAGGCCCTCGTTTTGTCAGTGTATGTCCTTGGCTTACACCATGCCCCACAGAGCAAGCCAAGCGATGCATATGCTTTTTATTTCTTTTTCAAATTACAGTACAGTTGATATACAATATCACATTAGTTTTAGGTGTACAACTAAGTGATTTGACATCTGTATACTTTACCAAGTGATCACTGTGGTAAGTCTAGTAACCATACGGAGTTGTTATATTATTGGCTATACGTTCCGTATACTGTACGTCACCTCCCTGTGACTTCCTTAGTTCATACCTGGAAGTGTGTACGTCTCATTCCCCGTCACCTGTTTTGTCCACTACCCTGTCCACCTCACCCCCTGGCAACCATCAGTTTGTTCTCTGTACCTATGAGTCTGTTTCACTTTTGTTTTGTTTCGTCATTTGATTGGTTGTTTTTTTCAGAGTCCACATGTAAGTGAAATCATGTGGTGTTTGTCTTTCTCTATTTCACTTAGCATAACAGCATCGAGGTCCGTTCATGTTATCACAAATGACAAGATTTAAGTCTTTTATATGACTAATATTTCATGTTATACACACACACACACACACACACACACAAGATGGGGCAAAAGTAGGCTTTTAGTTGTTCATATGGAAAATAATACGATGAATAAATGATAATACGATAACCTCTATTTCGCATACTCTTATGTAAACCTACCTTTGCCCCACGCTGCCTATAACACATCCTCTTTCCCCATTCATCTGTTGATGGAAACTTAGGCTGCTTCCCCGTCTTGGCTGTTGTAAATAATGCTATAATGAGATTCGTATCTACCTTTTCAAATTCGTGTACTGTATTTCTTCAGGTCAGAACCCGGAAGTGGGGTTTCCAGGTCATGCGTGGTCGTGTTTTTAATATTCTGAGAACCCCGTCCTGTGTTTTCGAGGGGCTGCACCAGTTCACACCCAGGCTTCCCTCTTCCCACATCCTCACCGACGCCTGTCACTCGCTAACCTGCTGCTTTTGAACGTGTGGTTGGATGAACAGAGGAGAAAACCTGGGCCTTGTGTGATATAACAAAAATCATTTCCGGTCTCAGACAAGCCACCTTCTCCTTCATGGCTGCCTATCATTTATTCATTAAACACATGCTGGGAGCATAAACCAGCTCACTGTTTCCCAAACCACGGTGACTCACATACCATCTTCCCAACTCTGTGCCATGAGTCACTTCATACTCATGTTGACATTGCCCCCTTTAAAAACACCTTAATTTATTGTAGAAGTTCCATAAATAAAAAAAAGTAGCCGGATCTCTAACTGTAAAAATAAACGCAATACGATCCTCATCCTCCTGCAGCCTCTACTCGACCGAGTAGCACCTGGAAGACGTGTGGTCTCTGGTTTTCTCTAGAGGCTCCCTGTCCAGCAATTAAAGTGACGATACTCGTGTTCCACACTCTCAAACACTGAGCTCGAGAGACAGACGTGCGTGAAGAGTGGGGACATCCAGCCATTCGTTTGGCAAACACTTAGCGAGCATCTACTAGATGTCAGGCAGTGTAGCCTGGACTTGAATGCATGATGAACGAACCCAGCGTGGCCTTGCTGTCCACAGTGATGGAGACAGATATGACTGCATCACGGAACCAACTCTGCAGATGCAACTGCAGTGAAAGTAGGAAGAAGTGATTCGAGAACCTTTCACGGGCCCCCTGAGCCAGTCCTCAAAGCCTGGGGGAGGCATGGAGGCCCGAGGCATGTTGGGTAATGTGAGAGGAACCTGGTGACTGAATATGGAGGTGCATTGACGGCTGGGAATACAGGAAGTAGAATTCCCTCTTTGCCAGGAGAAATGTGTAAGGAGAAGAGTAATGGGCTCAGCCAGCAGATGCTGGGGCGATGCAGGGCGGCCGGGGACCCCCCAGTACTCACTGGGCACGCCCTGAGGCTGCCTGCTTCGCGTGGCATAACCCTCGCAGCCCTCCCAGGCGGGAGGCCGGTCATTACCCCACGTACAGATGTGGGAGTGAAGGGTTCAGGTTCAGACATTCAAGGTCAAACAGCCTGACACAGGCAGAGTCAGGATTCAAGGGAAGCGGAGGGGGAGTCCTCAGTGGTCGGGAGACAGGCACAAGGAGGGGGGTGGAGGAGAGGAGGAAATGCCAGAATCGCACCCCAAGGGATGTGGGGAGTCAGGTGGACATGAAGCCCCCAGCCCTGGGGTGTGGGGGGCAGAGCCTTAGGTCGGCAAAACCTGAAGACTTTGTGCCTTTAAACCTGGAGATTCAAGGGAAATGGAAAGCGGACCCTTCCTATTTAATGGCCAGAAGTTCCATCGCTTCCAGGTGCCATAATCTCCTGGGAGAATGATCACTGAAATTACTTCTAATGAAAAGGGAACCTCGAGTTCTCATAGAAATAAAAGAGGCGCGAGGCCCTCAGAGCAATTCCTTCCTGGCTTCAGGCAGAACTGCCATGAACTGAGAGAGAGACATTTTTCCTCCGTTAAACGGCTTTTGGAAAATGAAGGCTTTCCATAATTTTCCTTACTAACTGGTTGTTGTGTTTGATAATCCTGCTATCAAGAAGCTATTGTTCATACCGTCTAACCCAGGGTCCCACGGTCCCCGTCCATTTCCGCCTGCGTTTCAGGGGGTGGGGCACGGCTGTGTCTGTCCGCTGGAGGCAGACTCACCCCCATCATGGTCTGGCTTCAGAGCTTCGTCCTCTAAACCGAACTCAGTCGCTCTGCTCTTTAAAGGCGGCTGGTCTGCTTCAGCAAGACTAAGCTCACTTCTCTACGCCTCCCTCTTTCTTGCCTCAACACAGCCAGGCTCCAGGGGACAGGGACACTGTTGTATGGAGACAGGAGGAAGCCGTGTCTGTGCTGCAACAGGGACGTGTGAGTGAAGGAGAAATACTGGGACTGGGAGACGAGTTACACACACTTAGTATGTGAACCAACTGGCCCTCACGAGAGAATATAAAAATATTCCACATTATCATATAAAAATACAGCATTTGTGAATTTAAGAATAGTATTTCATGCCCAGCTGGTATGGCTCAGTGGTTGAGCGTCTACCTATGAACCAGGAGGTCCTGGTTCGATTCCCCGTCAGGGCACATGCCCAGGTTTCGGGCTCCATCCCCAGTGTGGGGGGTGAAGGAGGCAGCCGATCAGTGATTCTCACTCATCTTTGATGTTTCTCTCTCTCTCTCCCTCTCCCTTTCTCTCTGAAATCAAGAAAAATATATTTTTAAAAAACAGAGTATTTAACATAATAATGGAAAAGGTGAGAAGACATCCATGTTGGGCATATCACTAAACTAAAAGGACTATTGTAAAAACTGCATTTCAACAATCTCTAAGATAAAACATTCCTAGAACAGAAAGAATCATTGACACCAGGAAGTCAAGATGTACAATGAAATAAAAACATACACCTAACTCCCAAGTAAGACTCTGAGCTCAGTTGTGAATAAAGCAATCTTGATTGGCTCATATTACTTTATTAAAATGCTTCTAGCACTATCTTTCACATACAATTAATCACAATAGTCAAGTTTTCTTTGGTCCAATTCAGATGAATGCCGCTAAGGCAAATAAAGTACCATAAAAACCAACTCCTAAAATCCTGGTCCATGATATTTACTATGGTAGCTGTAACGTTTCCTTCTGATGTACAGAACATGAGGTCTCATCATTATAAACGCTGGCTCGGCCAGAAATCTACAAAACATGGATCCTAAGTCGGCACTTGGATAGTTCACTCATACACTGATTACTGATGGTCAGGAATGACCTTGAGAATTTCTTAAGAACAGAATAGAGAAAAGGTGTAAAAGGTTCATTAGGGCTGGAGATTTCAGAAAAGAACAGAAGTAGGGCTTAGATTGGAACACGAAGAAAGAGTGTTCAAGGTCGAGAAGGTAAAGGCATTCCTGGTGGAAGGGAGCCCATGAAGAGAAACACAGAGGTGTGTGGAGTTCGGTGGGTCAGGGTCTGTCGCAGTGAGCGACCATCTGCAATGAACCCAAATAGCCATCCCTCCACGATATTCCAAAACCGCCGACTGCTCTGCCTCTTCAACAAAACGCGACCCACAACAGTGCTTCCCTCCGTTTATAACTTGAAAGGCTGGTTAGTAGAATGAAGGCAGCTACCCATGTTCACACCTGTTACATAAAGTACCCTCCGAGCCTAGGGGCCATTGCTAACCCGGGAGATACTATCCCCTGCCCTGCACCAGGCTCTCCAAGAGGCGGCCAAAGCCTGACCACACGCATGTCATCTGTAGCTTCTTAAACATGTGGATGCTCATCCTTCTCTTAACTGTCGACACACGTGATCTGGGCGTGGTTTTTAGTTTAATTCCTCACAAAAACCAACTACAAGGCCAGATCAAGAAAATGCTGACGATTTTAAAAATTAGGTGCCAGAGGTGTCCAATTCCACTTGTTCAAAACAAACGTTTAACCACCAGAGGCATCTCATTAACTTAGTCGATTTCCACACTGAGTGTTACACAGACTAACCATGTCCGACTAGCAAGGGTTCCTCCTGTGGACATGTATCATTTAACCAACTGGAAGTTGTGCAGAAGAAACGCATCCCCACTTTCTAGCTGCCCTGGCCCAAGCATGAAGGACCCCCCTATGGATTCGACGCTATAGACGCAGGCACGTGGTCTACTTTATCAAAGGCGGGACATCATGATGCAAAGTAGAATGAAATTTTCCCGTTTTCTCTCTCCTATCAGGTTTCCCCGAAGCTACCCTCCTTTCCCCCCAAAAGCTACCTTCCTTTCCCCCCAAACGCATTAGGGACGAAAGACAATGCCACTCCAAGAGCTTTCTGAGTGGAAATAAACCATGAGTAACACTGTGGGTGTGTTGTAACCTGGAGATGAACTGCATGTCATACTGGGCACCTGTAAGGTTAAAAACGAACGGAAAGACAGCTGTGGTCGGCTTACCTCGCGATCGAGTCCGGCTGCCACGGTGATGATGTCCCCCGTCTCATTGTTGATGGTGAACATGTTGGGCGAGGGGGTGCTGGGGGCCTGCGACAGGATTCTGTACCGCAGCATCCCGTTCTGGGTGTTGGGATCATCCGCGTCGATGGCCGTGACTGTCATCACATACGTTCCTGGACACAGCACACACGGAGGGTGAGCGGCCGGCCTTCACTTCAGCGCCTCCCCAGCAGCAGGCCTGCTTGCCCCTGCGTTCAACCTCAATTCCACTTTCCCAAAGCAGGCATTTCATCACAGACTTGATTAAAAACACTACTACTAAGAAGAGTACTCTATTATTATTATTATTTTAAATAGTTTTATTGATTCCAGAGAGGAAGGGAGGGAGAAGCAGAGAGAGATAGAGACATCAATGATAGAGAGAATCATCGATTTGGCTGCCTCCTACACACCCCCTACTGGGGATCGAGCCACAATCCAGGCATGTGCCCTGACCAGGTGTGACCTCCTGGTTCATAGGTTGATGCTCAACCACCGAGTCACGCCAGCCAGGCCACAAGAGTACTCACTTTAAAAAATATAAAATATAAACCATTACTTGAAAGAAAAATTATAAAACATTTATACATTTATAAAGAATCAATTTTTCCATAACTTTGAAGACAAATTCACTGTAGATTAAGTAAATGATCACTTCAGACCTTCATTTATAAAGAAGGCAACTAACACGTGAGATGGATGCCATTAGCGACATGTATTGTGGCCACTGGTTCCTGCCCACTGACCCATTTTCTTGTTATGCAGTCGCATCGGGAATGAGATGCTGAGCGCGAGCCTCCCATGGCCTCAGTCACTTGGGAAAGTGAGCTGGTGCCTAATGACAAACGCTCCACTGGCCGGGTCATCAGGGACCCCTCCATGCGTTACTGTTTTGGTACATTGCACAGGGGTTGGCATTGCGGCTCATTATTTCCTTAGAGATTAAAGGAATGTTGCAACAACCTCAAGGGACTTCGAAATGTCAAATATTAGACATTTCGAAGGGAAATCTACAAAGCACTGGGATCAAATAAGTCCAAACCAGCTGGAGGAACGGTAATGGATGAGCAGAGAGAGCAGCGGGAGACTTGGGAGTCCCCCAAAAGGACATGATCTAGGGTGGCAGCGTCACCCAGGCCCTCTCCGCGTTTGGGCTTACCACATCAGCTGGTCCCAGAAACACCAAGTACATTTTATTATTATTATTATTTTAATATATTTTTATTGATTTCAGAGAGGAAGGGAGAGGGAGAGAGAGAGAGAAACATCAATGATGAGAGAGAATCATGGATCGGCTGCCTCCTGCATTCCCCACACTGGGGATCCAGCCCACAACCTGGCACGTGCCCTGATTGGCAATCAAGCTGTGACCTCCTGGTTCCTAGGTCGATGCTCAACCACCAAGCCACGCTGACCAGGCCCAAGTCCCTTTTGGACTCTCCAACTGCCCCTTGGCTGCTGCTGTGACTAATATGATACACTCTGTACTTCCTGGGCAGAGGCCCTGGGTGCTGGTGCCCACTTTCTAGCTGCCCTGGCCCGAGCATGAAGGGTCCCCCTATGGATTCGACGCTATAGACGCAGATACGTGGTCTACTTTATCAAAGGTGGGAAAATCATAGTGCAAAGTAGAATGACAGTTTCCCGTTTTCTCTCTCCTATCAGCTTTCCCCAAAGCGACCTTCCTTTCCCCCCAAAAGCATTAGGGACGAAAGAAAACGCCACTCCAAGGCCCCCAGGCACCAACTTCCCTGGCCTCTCTGTGGTGCCCGCCCCGGGACCCGCACACACTCACCCGGCTTCGAGCCCTCGGGCACCGTCCCGTTCCAGACCTGGTGCAGGAACTCAGGGCGGTTGTCGTTCATGTCGATGACGTTGATGACGATGTCGATGGGGTTCTCCACTTGGTTCCCGTTGATGTCCACCGCGTGGGCCCGCAGCTGCAAAAGCCATCAGAACACGGGACTAGTGGGCAGGTTCATGTCTCAGGTGAGAAGATAAAATTCACCCTCACCAGGCTACCCACCGGCACCCAGGCACCGAGCAGCAGGAGAACAGAAGCAACTCTTCCAGCAACATCTGTCAGCAGAGCTCCACCCAGCCAGCATCGATGTAGCGGCCCCAGGCCCACAGTGACGCCCCGCCAGGCACTGTGCTCCCAGTTTTATGGATTTGACTCATTTAATCCAAATACAAAAGACGGAGGCAGAAGGGACCAGCATTTGGAAGAGAAAAATCAAGCCCCAAAAAAGCCCGAGTCGCACCGCTGTGTGCGCTGGCAGAGCCCACGTTCAAGGCCAGTAACATTCCGCGCCCAAATCCCTTTGCTAAACCATCCTGATGATTCAGGGGAATTAAAAAGCTGCTCCTGGCACAGAGCACTCACGTAGACCAAGGGGACAGGAGGGAACCCGGGAAGAATTGTGTGCAGAGGGAATTTTCACACTAGGTTTGGTTTTTATAACTGCAAAAGGCACTCAGAAACCCTGAAGTACATGAATACATAACAGTTGTTCTTCTCTCAAGCTCAAGTCCTTCGTTTTGTAGGTGTTCTAGATATTTTTTCTTTTCTTTTTTTCTTTTTAAACAAATATAATCGCACAGCTACTCTTGGAAGAATATCTTCAAAATCTTTTCACCTGGCACACAGAGACCCATTTCATTCTTTGCACCAGCCCTGTAGCATTCGATGGAATTGTTTATTTTTAACGGGAATGCTTTCATGATTCTACCATTAAGGATGATGCTGGCAGCTGCTTTCTGTGGGATATGCTTTACCAAGTTAAAGAAGCACCAGCATACCCTTTCTGATTTAGAGGTTACTTAATACACGAAACAAATATCCACCAATAGGTGTCAAGTTTATGTTACACTCATTCAACAACATAATTTGGAGCAATCAAAATTATTTAAATCACGCATGTCAAACTCAAGGCTGGCGGGCCCAACACAAGTTTGACATGCTTGATTTAAGTAAGTAATTTTTAAAATATATATATTTTTATTGATTTCAGAGAGGACGGGAGAGAGAGAGAGAAACATCAACGATGAGAGAGAATCATTGATCAGCTGCCTCTTGCACAGCCCCTATTGGGGATCGAGCCCGCAACCCAAGCATGTGCCCTTGACCGGAATAGAATTGAACCCGGGACCCTTCAGTCCACAGGCTGGCGCTCTATTCACTGAGCAAAACCAGCTAGGGCAAATAAATAATTTTTACTGACATGAAAAGATGTTAAATCTTATGATAGCAAAGTGGCAAAGGCTAGTTTCCGAGAATGGTTCTAATTTCGAAAGAAAACATTTATGAATTTATCTACAGCAAAACATCTTATAAGAGAACATCAATGTGTTTAAAATAAGTTAGTTTACAAACTAGGATTACAAATTGTTTTCACTTTCTTATTAATACTGTATTATTTGAAAAGTTTTATTTCTATGTTATTTGAAAAGTTTTTGCAACATGCACGTATTCCTCTAAAAAATAGTAATTTCATCAAAAGTTTTAGTTGTTCATGTGGAAATTAAAGAAGTAACAAAGATCAATTTAGGCTTCTATATTTAAACTCATGAAAAAATTGCTGAAATCCTGTTCCAGGAAAATGTACAAGTATGACCAGAAAAAAACAGAAACAAGTTCCTGGAACTCACATTTTCATATTAGGTAATTCTTGCATCTTAAAACATTCAACCCAGCGTTATTTCTAAGTTAGGAAAATCAGTTTCAAATATATACAGGATGGGGCAAAAGTAGGTTTACAATTGTTTGGATGGAAAAGAACTCAACAATTAATAAAGAACTAGAGGCCCGGTGCATGAAATTTGTGCACGGGGGGAGGGGGTGTCCCTCAGCCCAGCCTGCACCCTCTCCAATCTGGGACCCCTCTCTCAATCCAGGACTGCTGGCTCCCAACCGCTCACCTGCCTGCCCTCCCCTGCAGGCCTGATCACCCCCAACTGCCCTTCTTGCAGGCCTGGTCCCTCCCAACTGCCCTCCCCAACTGCCCTCCCCTGCCGGCCATCTTGTGTGTTGGGGTGATGGTCAATTTGCATATTACTCTTCTATTAGATAGGATAATACAAGAATGAATTCCGTGTTGCGCATACTCACGACTGTACGCCTTCTTTTGCCCCACCCTGCATGTATTCAAAAATATGAATGTATCACCATATGCAAAAGGCGGTTATAACTCAGTAAGAAAATAAAAGCACAGAACAATAACGAACAAGAATTAACATAAGAAACATAATTAGTTACAACATCTAAGAAAAGATTGCTCATCCTGGCCGACTGGTGAAACCCAGTGTTAGCACGGCTATGAGGAAAGGAGAGATCTCCATTCCCCGGAGGACTAACACGGCCACCTCCCTGGAGGGAACACTGCCAACAGACGACAGAACAAAAGCGCGCGATCCACGTTCTAGGTCTCTGTTTAGTGGTAATAACGAAGCCAGAGGAACAGACACAGTGCAAGCACCAAGCGCAGATGTCTATCAGTAAGAACCTGTTTTAAAACTGCAGGCTGTACGTTCAAGGCATCCTATCCAGCTATTAAAAACGTTGTGGTCTCTCCACATTCCCACGCACGGTGTTGACCCCATGGGCACACCTGTTCTCAGAAGGCCTTGGCCACGGATCTGGAAGCAGGCAACCTCGAGTACAGGGTCACGCAATTTGGGGCGATTCCACTCCCGTCTTCCGTACCTCTTGCTCTTTAACCAGGAGTATTCATCCATCCCATGAAGATAACACCATCATGAAAGGACATGGAAAAGGCTCCAAGCACATTTCCCATCTTAGAACTCTCAGAAGCAAAGCTTTAAGATGGGTATGAGCCTGGCCGGTGTGGCTTAGTGGCTGAGTGTGGACCTATGAACCAGGAGGTCACGGTTCAATTCCCAGGCAGGGCACATGCCCGGGTTGTGGGCTCAATCCCTAGCATGGGGCATGCAGGAGTCAGCCGATCAATGATTCTCTCTCATCATTGATGTTTCTATCTCTCTCTCCCTCTACCTTCCTCTCTGAAGTCAACACAAATATATACATACTAGAGGCCTGGTGCACGAAATTCGTGCACTTGGGGGGGGCCTTCAGCCCAGCCTGCACCCCCCCACTTAGGCCCGCTCCCTGCCTAAGCCACCGCTGCTGCGCTCACCCGCCGTGAGCCTGGCTTCTAGCTGAGCGGCGCTCCCTCTGAGGGAGCGCACTGACCACCAGGGGGAAGCTCCTGCATTGAGCGTCTGCCCCCTGGTGGTCAGCACATGACATAGCAACCATTTGTTTTGCCGTTTGGTCGATTTGCATATTAGCCTTTTATTATATAGGAGGATTGTTAAATGATATGAGAGGCGCAGGTCACCCTCAGCTCACACAGAGAAGACTTCATATATAGGACATCAGCAGAAATCTTACGTGAAAGCGGGCTATCTGCTCTCGATCCAGGGGCTTGGTCACGGACAGCTGCCCGGAGATGGGGTTGATAATGAAGATGCCAGTCGGAGGCTGGTCAGCGCCGGGCCCAGTGACGCTGTACCGCAGGGAGAGGTTTTTATCTCTGTCGGACCGGATCTGAGGGTCAAGAAGACAATCACATTAGAGGTGAGACCAAGTGAGCTCATTACCTGAGACACGGCTGCCACACCTCATGCCCTTTTGCAGTTACAAACCTACACCATCACCTCCCGGAAAACCAGGGCACTGCTCCCAGGCCTGTCCCTTGTCCTGCTTTCTTGGCAACAGACTTCAAAAAGAGAGACCCCCCTATCACCCCAAAGACGGGGTCGATGTTAACATCTAACAGCACATTCCCTGGAAGCAGCGCCAAACGTCAACACGAAGGAGCGTCGGCTTTTAAGCAGCATCGGACTCTACCCTGGGAACCTGCAGGTTAGAATATCACCCAAATGACAACTTCATGGGAAAACACGGTTTACTTCTGGCCTCCGTTAGGGTAAGAAGCCATCGTTTAGAGCGTGAAAAGTCTTGCTGGGGAGCACTAGGATTATGGTGGAGCCTGGCAATGAGATTTCCATATCCTTCTCAGGTGGCACTTTTACACGCAAACTCCTATTGACAACAAATCATACACGTGATTTTAAAATATATTTCCATACTCTCCAGAATTATACTCATGGACTCACTTCCTTCTCCTCCAAAGACCACGACTCCCAGGAAAAGGAAGTTTATATCTGAGTCACCGTGGCTGAGGCTACAGAAAGGGAGGAGGGAGCGTGCGGACAAAGGGCAGGAGCGCAGGCCTGCGGGCGGTGACAGTAAGAGACACGCGGGCATTAGGTACATACGCTTGACCCAAAAACAGAATCTAGTTTACCTTTTAAAGGTAAGGCACAATTATTTTTTCTCCTTCTCCATTAAAGTAGAAAAATAAGGAACACCATTACTTAGGGTTATGTCATTCGCTGTTCAACTGAATTGTAATGTGCAATAAAATAGCACATACAACCCAGAAAATGACTTATTAAAAAACACAGCTCTCAGTAGGTATGTACTGGAATGCTAAATCAATCATCTACAGAAACACTTATTTTCTCAAAAATGAAAACACAACGATTTTCTCTTATTTTCCTTTTGTGATAAACAACAGGTTGCTAATTTGGCTGAACACACAGAACTGTCTGTAATTTCCACCCCGCGCCGCCCCCCCCCCCCCCACATCTGATGGTATGCATTTAGAGGAACTAACAACACGGACTCCTCAGAGGTGAAAGCCTGTATTTTTGCACGCCCCTGGGATTCTGTTAATGGTATCAGAGGTCATTTTTTTCCTTTTAAAAACCCTCCAATGCACTCAGTGCTGGCATTTTTAGCAACCATCGCCCTTTATTTTTTCCTTTGGCCCCCACGCTCTCCGTAGGGGGCAAAGACCATGGTGGGGAGGGCAGCTCGGTCAGGGGAGCTGAGGTGCATGTGCTTCATGGCAGAGGGGGTGATGGTGCGAATGGCGCTGGAGTCAGCTGGGGCTTCTGTCTGCACACACCGAACAAACTTTCCCTCCACGGACTCAGGAGCTACAGGGAGCTCCACCTACAGACCACCCTCCGAGGTGACAGTCAAAACGAGAAGAGGCTCCGGACAACGTAAGACATCGCATCTATAGAAAATATTTTTAGCAGATGTGCGCCCGAAACTCCGCCGTGTGAAAAGCAGACCAACGCGCTCCTCACACACACCTGCCCCCGCCACCGAGACAGCGAGAACCGCGCCACCCACCCGGACGAGCTCCTGCGGGAACGGGCCTCGCGAGTTCTCGGGCAGGTTGATCGGAGGGATGACCCAGTCTCTCTTCTGCCTCTGCAGGCGCCCATCGCTCCGGGCCGGCAGGCGTGGGAACACTATTTCTTCAATTTCTTGTGGCCCCTTTGCATTGAAACACAAGAAGACATTCCTGATTACCAGGAGAAACACTTTCTGAAAGTTCATCAGTGTCAAGGAGTACCTGGAAGTGTAGGCATCACAGTTCATTACCAACAAGAATAGAAGTCCGGCCCTAACCGGTTTGGCTCAGTGGAAGGGCAGGTTCGATTCCGGTCAAGGGCATCTACCTTGGTTGCAGGCACATCCCCAGTAGGGAGTGTGCAGGAGGCAGCTGGTCGATGTTTCTGACTCTCTATCCCTCTCCCTTCCTCTCTGTAAGAAATCAATAAAATATATTTTTAAAAAAAGAATGGAAGTCTGGAGAGGCCCTTTCCTCGTGCCCCCTATGAACATAAGAAGCCCTGGTCCGCGTGGCTCCGCTAGTTGGGGGTCATTCTGTGCACCGAGGGGTTGCTGGTTCGATTCCAGGAGAAGCACATGTCCTGGCTGTGGGCTCCATCCCCAGCAGGGGGCGTGCAGGAGGCAGCCATTCAATGTCTCACTCTCACATCGATGTTTCTCCCTCTCTCTCTCTCTCTAACTCAATTTTAAAATCTTTAAAAAGTAATAATAAAAAGCACTGTAAAATTTTCAGGCTAAACTGTTCATTGGAAAACTGAATTCCAAACAATTTATTATGTGGCCCAGCTGTGTAAACTGTCTGCAATTTCTACAAACCACCTTAGATAGCAGTTAATATGGAGGCAAATGTAACAGATCCTTTTATATATTTCTCATTAGTGTAAACCGCAGCTCAGGTAATGCGCTACTGTACATTAAATTTAGATCTTGATGTGCGACAATATAATTTGAATTCCGAGAGAATTTTAATTCGTCCTGCTAAGGAATGTCTCAGATATTTATGACCCTATTAAATCGCACAGGATTAATGCTGTAATTATTCTAAACCTATGTCAGCCGGGATGGATGCTGCAACTGGCCCACTTTGCACACAGGGCATTAATCTCTGCGGGTGCCAGCGTTTTCCTCTGTTTCTCCGTGTATCTGTGGCCACTGTGCCCATTAGCCCTTGCGGCTCCAGTGGAAATATCCAAGCTGGTTTGCTGGGACACTTCGTACCATCAACAATAAAAGCAACTTTTCACTCGATTCGTTACCAGTTGCTCACTTTCTATTACCCTAACGGCATGGTTCCCCTTCAACAGTTAATCGTTTCACTGATTACGCTCCACATAATGAGAGCCGGACGCTGGCCTCAAAGAAAAATGATACATATTTTCCCTCCTATATATTTATTCGTATTTGATTACTAGTGGGCATATCGCCTTTACCATTAAATACCAGAAATGAATGTGTGTCCTCTTATCTTTCTCAATACCATAAATACAGAAAATGTACAAGTCACAGTTTACAAAATCATAAACCAGAATATATGAGTGTGGAATCCCCTCAGATTGGTCTCCAATTAACTCAAAGAAGTAGAATATTCGAATGAAGAATGGAATCATAACTGTACTGAGGAAATTATTAGATCTTATTTACATTTCTTAACATGGGGACTTATCCAAAGTAAGTGCTCGATACATTTTTGTCGAATTGAACCGGACTGTCCTCTGTTGGAAATGAATCTTACTTATTGTATCCTGGCTTATAGCAGCTTCCGCCAGACGGAATCACATTATTCCTAAGGGCCATGTTGGTGGGTACATAACTCCCACTCCCAATTCAATGATTAGGGGATGAGACAAACCCCATCGACCTGGCAGAAGCGCTTTCCCGTCACTCCCGTAAACCCGGACTCACACCTCAGACATTCGGCTGGTGAAATCTTGCAAGGGATTGTTTCTTTTGGGGTTCATATTTAAGAGCGTGTAAAGCTTCTAATAAATTTAAAACAAATGGCTACTTCTAATATCAGGTATAAATCTCAAAGTGTAAACAAACCTTTCCAATGTAAGTTCTGGTTGCTCAAAACACATTTTGCCCACATATCTTATAAGATTGAAAACTCAACAAAATACTATTGGAGGGACTGACGTTGATGAAAATTCAAACGCCGGGCAGCCATCCACCGATGTGAAGCAAAGGGTGCGTGCGGTTCCAAGCGCACAATCTGACGGGAGCTGTGGGTGCCCTACCTGCGAGGCAGCCCCCGGGGAGGCGGGCTGGAGGCTCAGGCTCACGGCCACCTGCCACTTCTCCTGCGTGTCCTGGTCGTGGGCGTAGACCAGGAACCGGGCGCGCTCGGAGGACAGGGGGAAGCTCCTGACCGCGTACACCACGCCGTCCTCGTCCACCTTGAAGTCTGCCGGCTCGCTGCTTTCATACTGCACTTTTCTCTTCCCATCGCAGCTGCTGAACTTCACTGTAAAAGAGAACACACACGTTATACTCCAAAAGCAGAAACAACCAGCACCAACATCTGCATCCTGCTCAGGCTAAAGGGTACAATGCAGTTCACACGGAAGACAAAAGGTGCGTTTTTACCTCCTGCAAGGAATCGTCACAGTAGAGAAGATCAGACTGTGGCTCTGAGTCGTTCCCCAGCGTCTCCTTGTGGCACAGCCTTTGCCTCTCCTTCCCCTCCCCTGGGCCCTCAGACCCACCTGCTTTCCCCATGCCCCTCGCTGATGTTGCCTACCACTTCCCAGCAAACTCCTACACATCCTTCAGAACCCGGCAGAACCAACCCCTTGCGCTCCGTGTCCATGCAGCCATCTGAACTCCACTACCACAGTCTCCTAGCCTGACATTCCCCGGGAGAGGTACTTGTGAGTACATTTTCTCAGCTATCTTGCATTCCCTGCATATCTCCTGGAACTCAGGAATTAACCCTACCAGACCGCTGTACCGATTTTTAGGTAATTTCCACACAAAGGTGGAATATTGGCGCTAGAAGAAAGGTAGATGAAAGGTAGACCTATTTTCTACAATGTCTCCAAGTTCCATCTTATTCTAACCACTTGTTTGCATGTAACTAACATTTTTCTATATCATGTTGGTTTTTTCTCTTTAATGCTCAGGAGCCCAGGTATAGGGGACAGTTAGGTTCAGGGCCTCAGGTCTGGTGGGATTAATACCTAATTTCTGAATGAATGCTACAAGGAAGAAAGCGATAGCATTTATTAAAGGTGAACGCCCACTCTACTCTAGAATGACAAAACCTGTGATAATTAAAAGGTGAACAATTTGCAATTTCTAGTCTTCATGGCACTTGTTATAGTTCCTTAAAGCAGGACGAATTTTACACATTTTCAAACAAATGAAAATAAAAGTGTATTTCAAAATAAATGTTAACTAGAAATATCTATGTCTTGAGAGTGGAACAACAAAAAAGCCTTCGGTATCTTCATTATCTCTCTCTCTTACATGTGATGATTTAAAGTTCAAGAAGTGTTTTCTTAAAAACAATCTATCACTTATGTCTCATCAGATGACAAAAGTTAAACGGCGAACTTACAAATGTAGAACTAGACATGTGTTAAGTCGGAATAAAATTATAAAATAATAAAAGCATTCTTTAAGAAACATCATTTGCTTTGAAATCCTTAATCATTCTCTCTGAAGAAAAATTACACGGGAATAGCATGAGGGATCAACGAAAAAGCAATTTTATTTCGGTTCTGTAAACATGTGAGATTATGTCCTGACCATAATTCCACAGGATACATTTTGGAGGGCACCAACACGCACACATTACAAGACAGAATCATATACACCATTTGCCTCTTTCAAGGATCTAAGTAAATTTATGAATATTCCCATCCCACATACGCATTGATGACAGTTCTTTTGTTTCTATTAATATAAATTCAATGAGATGTGCTCAAGAGCACATATAACAAGCCTGTTTATTCCCCTCCATAACCATAAAGTCCTTGCTAACAGTAATAAAATACTTCACTGGATATATTATTTTCCACATAATCCCATATATTTCATCTTTCAAACAATTCAAAATAAAAAGTTGTATCTCACACTAAGCTATTATACCTCACACTAAATTATGTTAAACCAACGTTATTTGTCTTTGGAATAGAAGTGTCCCCGAAGATACTTCATTACCCAACCCACACGACCTGCGATTTGAAAGTGAAAAATGGGACTCCTTTCTCTAGAACAATGCCATCTACTGCTTATTTTTTATGTCCGACGACACAATGAAAAGAAGTATTGTTTGGGAGGACCCTGCTGAGCCATCAAAATGAAAAACTTTTATCATCTCTTTGTATAAAAAGTACCTTTCATATCACACGCGGTATTCACGATACTGAAGAACATGTGATCTGGAGCAGAAATATGACACATTCTCCTGCACTTTCCCGCTCGGGCATCAATCCTCCCCGACTCGCACCGGGTGAGGGGTCTGCACCCTGGGTGGGCTCCTCCCTGCTCCAGGCCACTGCCGGCCACTCCATGAGTTCCTCCCGCCCGCTTACCCTCTGTATCACTGTAAGTAAACCCTTTACCCAGTATGCAACGCTCTCTCAATTACTGTGCCCTTGGTCTCTTTGGTTTAACTTGCAACATATTCTAAAACATGTTCTGCCCAGTCGGACAGATTTCTCGGTCATTTCCCACCTCACTGTGGCCCACACCCGCGGGCATCACCTTGTCTGAAAGCCCCACCCCATTCTCCATGCCCAGCCCCTACCCCCCACCCCATTCTCCATGCCCAGCCCCCCCGCCCCCCGCCCCTTCTCCATGCCACAGCTCCAGAGCCAGGCCTGCAGGCCGCAGTGCAGGCGCCATCGACGGGATGTCCCTCAGAAGACAGCAGCTACGCCCTCACCTGAAGAGGCGCTGCATCTTTCATTTTACTTTTAATTTGTTTTTACATTTGTCCATGGAAACACAATACCACAGGGGCTTCAAATTGGCTTTGTATTAGGCTGCTGGTGGTGAAAGAAAACGAAGGAGTATTTGATGAAAGCCAGGCATTGAACAAGACACTTAGCTTATCTACTTGAACCTCAACGATTGCCTCCCGAACTGGGGTTCGTTATTTCTATTCCACGGAACAGGAGAAAGAAAGCTCAGAGACTCCTGTGCCCATGACTAGTTGACTCCCCGTCTTCTTCCTCCTCCAAAAGCCTACAGGAATCGAAATACACGCGTCTTAAGTTATTGAGAAACAACTTAAATAAACAATGAAGGTAAAGAAATGGCAACGAGGTTAGATAAATGCTTGTCAAGAGGATAAAGCCACATTAGGTCTTGGAAAATGCTACCCTCAATAGCATCTTCAAAAGGAATTCTTCACTGAATGTCCTACGGGGCAGGCGGCTGGAGCCCCCGACGGCTGGGGCGCGCATTCGGCAAGCAGAGGAAGATTCTCGCTCGCTGTGGCTGGGGACTGACCGTTCTGTTACTCTGGTACTCAGCTGCCCACTGGATTCAGGTGTCAGAGTGACGAAGGAGAAAACGAAGGAGGCCTTAGAAAAACGCGTCAGCCAAGAAAATGTGCCCTTTCCTACACGGGTCATCGCGCATCCCCTGAGCGAGAGGGGGCTGAGCTCGAGGGGGCCCGCACTGGAGAGAGCCCTTTGGAGGAAGCTGCATAAAAGTCGGTGATTCAGAGACAATTACTCGTTCTATCACCCCCGTGCGACCTAACCTATAACCAATATGAACGGGTTCAATACATATGCTATTAAGTCATTCTGTGCTTTTAAAACAAATGATCATGCTCCTTTGTTCTTATATTAAAACAAAATAGCCAAAACCGGTTTGGCTCAGTGGATAGAGCGTTGGCCTGCGGACTGAAGGGTCCCAGGTTCGATTCCGGTCAAGGGCATGTACCTTAGTTGCGGGCATATCCCCAGTGGGGAGTGTGCAGGAGGCAGCTGATCGATGTTTCTCTCTCATCGATATTTCTAACTCTCTATCCCTCTCCCTTCCTCTCTGTAAAAAATCAATAAAATATATTAAAAAAAAACAAAACAAAATAAGCAACATTCTGGGCATTACTCAGCTTCACGGAAATGCTTCATATGATACAATTCCCGTTGTACACACACTCAGTGGACTCCACACCATTAATGAAAACGAGTCCATTGTCAACCGACCAGGTTTTCATCGATGAAACCTCAGTTCTAGCTTCTTGTGGTTGTGAAGTGAGGCATGTACAGGGCCTGGCTCACATGTTTAATCAATGACAGCCACGTTTCACTGTTTTCCAGTCACAAGTTAAAATACTAATTTCAATGGGCGATATGGACAGAGTCGTGTTCCCCCAAATCCACAGGTTGATGTATTAAGTCCCAGCACCTTAGAACATGACTGGAATGAGGACATGTCTCTTGAAGTGGTAGTTAAGGTTAAATAGCTCATATGAGGGGGGCCTCATCCAAATTGACCGGTGTCCTGATAAGAAGAGGACATTTGGACACAGATACTCATGTTCATGGAGGAAAGACCTGGGAGGACACAGCAACAGGTGACCAGGTCAAGGAGAAGGGCCTTTAGAGAAACAGAACCTGCTGGCCCTCGGTCCTGGACTTCCAGCCTCCGGAGCTGTGAGAAAGGAGGTTTCTGTGTTGAAGCCACCAGTCCGTATTATTTGAGGACAGCCCTGACAAACGCATACAATGGGTAACCCCGCAACATCCATGATGAGAGAGAATCATGGATCGGCTGCCTCCTGCACACCCCACACTGGGGATCAAGCCCGCAACCGGGCATGTGCCCTGACCGGGAATCCAACCGTGACCCCCTGCTTCATGGGTCGACACTCAACCACTGAGCCATGCCAGCCGGGCTCATCCTATTTTAACACGTGTTTTTTGAAGAAAAGGTGACAACACATTTAAAAAAATAATTAAAATGCACCCTTAGCAGTGAAACTATTTTGTAGGATAGTCAGTGGATACATGACATTATGCATTTGTCAGAACTCACGGACCTGTACAACCCAGAGTGCATCCTGCTGTCACCTGCGGACTTCAGTTAATAATGTACCCTATTGGTTGTAACAGGTGCGCCCCACTAATGCACATGCAAGATGTTCAGACAGGGACCCCCCACTCAAAGCAGAAACTCTAGACTTCACAATATAAAAGGAAATAAATTTCCTTATACGACTAAAAAAACAGTCTTGATCCACCAGATTATTATTTAACTAGAGGCCCTGTGCACGAATTCGTGCACGGGTGGGTCCCTTGGCCTGGCCGGTGATCGGGGCAGATCAGGGCCATCTCGCTCATTCTGGGGGGAGGGACTGCAGGAGGTTGGCCGGCCAGGGGGAGGGACCATGGGAGGTTGGCTGGCTGCAGGAGGTTGGCTGTGGGAGCGCAATGACCAGTCGTTCAGTCAGCTGGTTGTTAATGGTCACTTAGGCTTTTATATATATAGATTATTATTTAA